GCAAGTCAGAACTGCGAGTCCACTGCGGACGAGCAGCCCCTCGCGGCGTGCGCGACCTACCTCCCGGATAGAGCCGGATGAAGAGCTTCCGCGCCTCGTCGTACACCCAGATCAGGACGGCGTGCGGCGCAGCCACGAACCAGTACTGAGCCCTGGAAGCAGAGGGGCGAGTCCTGACGTCCGGGAGGCCACCTCCCTGCCTTCCTGGACACACTGCGCGGGGTCACACAGCGTAAAACTGGGCCGTGACTCCAGGAACAACGTCTGCCTTGGAAGTGGGCCATCGGGTGAGGGGAGAGGCGGGGCGGCGAGGACGGAGAACCCGTTTCCTCTTCTGAAAAGACTCGCGGTCACAGCCTCAGGCTGATACGAAGCCTGTTCCATACTACCTCTTTTGAAAGACTGGAGGGGAAAGACCCCCCGAAACCCTAATATTCATCTAGGCTGCGACAACCAGGTCGGGCGGGTTCTTCCCTCCCCGCGGGCCAAGGAAGCTCACCGGAGCGTGGTGAAGTTCAGGGCTGTGACACTCCCCAGGCCATAGGAGAGGATCAACGCGATGATAATCTGCGAGGCGATCCCCACCCAGATGACTTTATTTCTGCAGGACACATAGGAGCAGAGCCTGAATTCGCAGGCCCACACGCCCAGCAGTCAACCCTCTTGTGCTTCGGGCGTGGCCCCCATCTTCCCGGCACCAAAGGCCGAGGTTGAACCAGGAGGGTGGATGCGGGCGGTACCTGAATAGGCCCTGCTGGAAGATGGAATTCCTGCGGGTCTTCCTGATAATCAGATCTGCCAGCTGCTGGATCATGATGCCAATGAAGAAGGCGGTGTACCCCGTCCATTCTAAGTATTTCCTCTGGTAACTCGTCTGTCAACGGCCAGAGGAAGAGGAGGCTGTGAGGCCCCACATGGAAACTTCAGGGAGGTTTCAGTGCATTTCCATTAACCGTTACTCTTTTCCCCTCACCAAGATTGCGAGGGGATCACCTCCTTGCGTTTGGAAAGAAACATGTTTTTTCCTTTAGCCAGGTGAAAAGGGAAAGATGCTGACCTAGGTGATTGGGTCCAGCCCTGGAGTTACTGGCTGGTTACCCTTCCACACCAACTGCAGGGCCGGTGCAAAAAAGTGAGCTCCAGGCATCCAACTCGAGAGATTAGCTGGGCCCGGTAAAGTCAAATCGCTGTGACCAAGGGGCCCGCAAGCCCTCTTAACCGGGAAAACTGTCACCTTCTAGGTCCCTGTCCGGCCGTATGGGGAAAAGAAAGTTCCACATCTGGGGCGAGGCAGCGACAGGGGTGAAGCGGAGGAGCCGCCACAGCCCCGTCCTCACCCACTCCTCCCCACAGCCCCGCCCTCACCCACTCCTGCGCGCAGCCCCGCCCTCACCCACTCCTGCCCGCAGCCCCGCCCTCACCCACTCCTGCCCGCAGCCCCGCCCTTACCCACTCCTGCCCGTAGCTGTCTTCCAAGTCGTTCACGTAGTCCTTTTCCCACTCCACCCGGAGGTTAAGGAGGGCGCTGGGTCGGAAGCCCTCCTGTGCGTACACGGTGAAGTACACAAGGAAAGCTCCCAGGGCTTGCATGAGGCCTGGAAGAACGGGAGGGTCGACAAGGACATCAGAACTGCCCTGACCTCATTCTCCTTTGCTTCCTCCTCACATCCCCACCCGCCCAACCCACCAGGAAAAGTGAATTCTCGGGTGGCCCCTTGGGTGACAGGCGAGAAACGCCCTCTGCGTACCAATGTGCAAGTACGAGTACACGGCCAGGGGCAGGTTCACCAGTCTGTCCTTCTTCTTGTGACGAGGCTTCCTGTTCATGATGTCACTCTCAGCTTTCTCATAAGCCAGGGCGACGGAGGGGATCTAGAGAAGAGAGCCCAAGGCCTGAGCCTGAAACTCCACGCCTGCCCACCCGCTGGGGGCAGGAGGTGCAGCCGGCAGGGCCACCAGGCCGGGGTGGGGTCACAGTACTGGTCTTCCCAGGGCGGGCAGTGGGGTGTGCCGTGCGCTGAGAACTTAAGAATCTGTCTGCTCTGTGTGATCCCAGGTGCCACTGGTTCAAAACAGCGCCAGTCACATGCACTTTCCTCTCAGGGAGGCTCTCCCCTGCTGCTCTCTCCCCCTCCCCTGCCGCTGGTCCTAGTGGTTCTTGCAGGTTCCTCTCAGAGGGCAGAGAGCCTGCATCTCTAACCAGTTCCCAGGTGATGCCTGGAAGACCCACCACAGTGAGGGCCTGGAAAGTGAGCTGACTGTAGACTGTGGGGTCCTCAACTCCCTTCTAAGATAAAGATGCCTCCAGCCTCCCT